ACCCTGCCCGAATGCCAGCCCGTTCGGGAACGGCTCAGGGTTCCAATCCTCCAAAATAAAAAATAAAAAGAATTACAGGTCACGAATCCAAGATGATTTTCACGCAGGCCCCGAGAGAGGCTCACCTTGATGATCTCTTCGTCGCCGTCGTTGGATTTGACGCATTCGGAAGCCAGGGCGTGGCTGCTCGCGGGCCGGTTGGCTACCATGGCAAACGCCCTCCCCACCGGCTGCAGCGAGAAGACGCGGGGCAAGAGCTAGAGAGCGCACCCACAAGCAGGTTCAAAGCCCACACGGCCCCCGGCTGAAAACATACCCGTTTCCCACCTGCCCGAGAGGGGGGAGTTTCCGAGGAAGGCCGCGTGAGCGAGAAACCCCAAATGACCCCGCTTTGATTTTGTTTAGCCTAAGACTGAGGACCCTGGACGGGCTTTCCGGCCTCTAATTCTGCAACGAAGAACGCTGCAGAAATGTTTCCTGGACCGGCCTACCTTGAAGGGTTGAGAGGCGCACACTTACCTTTTGCTTTACTTGGTTACGCCGGTCCCCGGGAAGGTCATTCTGGAGGGTCAGCCTCAAGACTTTCACGCTGTCCTGAAGGGGTAGGGGAGAGAAAGAGAGACAGAGAGAGAATTAACCGCTGACTGGCTCTGCCTCAATTATACCATGCAAATATATTATTATTATTATTATTATTATTCCTATTATTATTAATCATTTGAGTTTATTGGCCACCCAGCTCCAGCGGGCGTATCTCACCAGAGAGAGAAAACGCTTTCCCATCAAGGCATGGGATCCACAGCAGCGGGAAAGACGGAGGACCGACACAAGGAAACCATATTCAGAAAAGGCTGAAATTAAGCGCCGGCACCTCATTTCCCTATGCAAATTAGGCTGTCTAGCAGGGTCACCTGCATGGAGAACGTCCTGCCCGCGTTTCTCTCCATCCGGGATCATCCTCCGTCCACCTTTGAGGATCCGGCCGCCTCCTACGAGGCCCGACATCCCTCTGAGATCTGGGTTATTTGCCAATTCCATCATTCTTGGCATTTACTTACTGCTTTTAAGATTGTTTCTGTAGTGTTTTTTAATGGATTTTATCTCCTTTGCGAACCGCCCAGAGTTGCTTTGCAACGAGGGGGGCGGTGACAAACTTGATCTATAAATCAATAAAATAAACGTCACTAAAAGGATCAGTGAAGCAGAATCGCGCCCCATCTGCTTTTCAGCATCACTTCTAGGCGTGCCCGCTGACTTTCGCCATCGCCTCTGCAAGGCGTTTTGGCCTCTGGACAAAGGAAACCCCTCCCCAGTTTAACGCTACGTCAGAGGACACACACACACACCAGCTTTAGTTATAAACCAAGCCTCGCCCTCAAAGGCATGACACCTTCCCGAATGGTGTCACCACCGCCGGCTCGGCAGAAGCCACCGGGCACACCAAAGGAGCAAGCCAGCGGGACACGGCAACCTTTCCAAATATGGCAGTGAACAAGCAGCCAAGCCAAGATCTGCCAGGCTCAGGTGAGTCATTTCGATGGGCGATACGCAGGGAGGTGGCCGAGCGGATCCCGGCCCAGAGCAAAGACACACCTGGGGAGGGAGGAGGATGGGATCGGCCGGGCCGGGAAGCCCGCCTTGATCTGATACGCAAGCGCGGGAGGCAGAAAAGGATTCTCCTGGGAAGGATCCCAGCCTGGCAGCCGGGTCTCCCCCGCCCCAGGAATCTGGGGGCCGTTGGCCAAGAGGCAGGGCTGCAAGAGCCCAGCTCTCTTGCTGGCTTCTCCTGACCTTCCAACGTCCATCTTGGATGGTGGACTTTTGGCTGCAGGAGGACCTGGGCTCCCCTGCTGGATACCCTTTGCCAGAAGGATCCTTAACAGCCTGGCACCACAAAGGACCCCAGACCCCTTTCTTTTAAACTCAGACTTCACCCCTTTAAGATGCGTGGACTTCAACTCCCAGCCCTTCCCCAGCCATGGACGACGGTTGTAGGACTAGGCGAGGGGCATAACCGATCAGGAATCCAAGCTGGGAAACTACAAAGCCCTCCAGACCCCTCCTCAAAACATGCCCTGTGTTCCTTAGCCCTTAAAAACTGAAAAATATAGACATATCTGGACCCGTGGCTATTGCCCTATTGGGTGGAAACCAAGACGTTGAATGAAGAAGACGTCTCTCTGAGCGGGGTCAGGGAAGAAGAAATTTGAAAAAGATCTTCTCTCTACACTAGGAGAAGAGGGCCAGGTTTGCATCAAACCCCCAATCGGCCCATGGAACCTTGAAAAAGGATGAGGGGGGTTGGAGTTCTTCAAAAATAATTAGAGG